AAGATTGTTTCTATTTGCCCCAAAGTCATGTTTTCCCCTTGAAAAGCAGACTTTTAAATAAAATCTGCATGGTGAAACAGAAGGTCTGAGAGTTGTTTTCTATCCTATGCTTCCTCACAAGCACACACATTTTTCTCAAAGCTTCATCTTATTGGCAAAGACAACTCAAAGTAGGGCTCAGACTGTAGGCACTCTTTGGAGCAGAGACTTCCACACATCATTGTATAACACAGAACATGGTTTGAACACTGCTCTCAGAACACTTAAGTTGCAAAATTGAACAGGAAAAATGGCTAGTCAGGCTGTTTCTTGGCGGACTGAAAGGATTTCGACAGCAGGAAACCAGAGCAAGTTTCTGTATGATTATTCCTCAGTCCAATTATGAGAAAAGTACTGCAGGAACAGAAGAAAACTATCTGGGCAAACTACAGAGGGTTTGCATGAACAGATGTCTGCAAAAAGAAAAACAGGATTTTACTCTGCAATATCTGGTGCAAACTGTACTGTGATCAAACTGTGATACTGAGAAATGAATACAGGCATAAATGAACAGCTCAGGTACAGTGAAACTGTCAACTTGGTGCGATGGTGTTTGTAGGTGACCCGTGTCTGTGGCCACTGTCCACTCTAGCATCTGGCAGTGCTGACGGAGGCTGTCCTGCAATAAGATGTCACTAAATTTCTTGTGTGATTTTACACACAAGGTACACTCTTACACACATAGACATGACATTTTCCTGAGCAAAGGTGGCTGCAGATGAAACCAGAATTTTCTACACTGTGCCACCCCAAGTCAATCCCCTTTTCATCTGTTATGAGACAGCCATTAATTAACATGACCTGGTCTCATTTCCCCTGTAGCTTGTTGGCCTCCTTCAGTGCACAGGATGGACTGTGCTTTGGGAATGGAAGAAGGGATGTCTAGTGGAAGAAGCTGCTGTCTTTAAGAGCTCTGGCTCAGAGGGAGGCCTTGCATAAAAGAAGAAAAGGGGTTGAATTGATTGGAAAGGAAACCAGGTGATAAAATAGACAATCTACCTGCTCCCCCTCAATCAGAGGACTGACTGAATATGAGGTAGCTTTGCCTGTCAGCAGCTTGAATGTGGGTTCACAAATTAGGCTTTTACAGTTATAGCCCAGGTCTGGCTTTGGAGATGAGCTGAAGCCTTATCAATGCAAAGACTATGTAAATGTAAAGACTACCTGCATTGCTTGGAGCCATTCAGAAGAGAGATCTGTCTGCATTGCTGCTGTTAATATCTTGACAGCGATAGTCTTCCTTATTTCTAGCTATACGCTACTTACAAAAAAATGAGAGCTGAAACCTAACGCTGCAGCAGAAGTGTTGCAGCTAAGGCATTCTGCTTACAGCAAGGACTTTGTTTGTAAAAATTATCCTCATCCTTGGCCAGCTTGAAGACAGAAATGTCCTGATGACCTGGACATCACTATAGATGCATGTCAGTGTGAATGTCCTGCTGCTGCAGCTGATGCTCCAGCACAAAGGTATCTGCACTGCAGAACTTCAGACCAGCATGTTCAGAGAGAACTCAAACCTAACTTCTGAACCAACTAACTCTGGTTATCAGAGATGTGCAGACACGAATTTCAGTGTTCAGCTCTTGCAAAAATACATTTACAGTCATTTATATGACATCTACAGTTATTTACTGCTCACAGATCATGCAAGAAGTCTAAAGAACTCTTTTGTCACTCCTGTTCACTTCCGTTCCATCTGTGGTAACTAATTTTGAACTGTGTCAGTGGAACCAACAATCAACACAGTAACTTCTTGCTTGCAGAACTGATGCTGCAGCTTGGTATACAAGGGAGGGAGGGGAGTTGTAGAGGTCGTGGGGAGCGTTGGTGGTTTTGCCTGGCTGTAGGGTCAAAGCCACTGGTTGAATTGGGCACAGTCACCATAGTAACGGTGAATTTCCGGGACTCGGGGCGACAGGTTGACGGGATTACTCTTCAAAGCACTTGCTCCCTTGGGAGAGAAGACCTAAAGGAAGGGGACGGGAGTTAATTTAGCGCACACAGTAGAGCAAGGGTCAGCAGTGGCAGGTCTCTGCTGGAGGGAAGCCTGCAGCAGCAATAAACAACTCCCTTTCAGCGGGGCTTTGACTAGCACCGAAATCACCGTAGGAGGCATTCAACAAAGAAAAGCAGAGGTGCATACAAAAGGTGACAGTCTTCTAAGGGACCGAGTTCTAAGTTGCAACCGACAGCTTCTGAGTGTCTCAAAGCTGAGTCTCTGCTTTACTGTGATGGCTTTACTCTGTTCTGCCATCCCTGTTTCAAGCACTGGGATGGCCAGATGGAGCTGCAGTGCCTGGATCTGGAAGCACTGAGTTTTGCCAGACCTGGAAGAGACAGAGAAGCAGAAGGGAGGCAAGCATGATGGTGTGTATGGTAGGAAGGGGTGTGGGACAAAGTGTTTGGAGGGGGTCATTGAGGCACTGGCATGGCTGTAGAGAGGTAGGCATGTAGAAGGTAAGAATATGCCTGTGCTCCAGTGTGAAGCAAGGAGAAGGGAGGCACTGTGGCAGTGTAGGGGACAGGGGAGAAGTCTGTCATCTCCTAAGGTTCATTGCCTCACTGCTATGAAGGTATATGTGTGGGGCCTGAAATTAAGCTGTTTTTAGAAGTGCCAATCTTCTTGTACACTGTTATTCTAATTTCCTTGGACTTTGGGGAGCAAAGGGCTGCTCTCCTGTCTGCCCTTCTGGTGAGATTGGAGCAAGACAGCACCATCTCAACGTATTGGTAATTTCTGCTAATAAAACTTCCCTTTGGGCCACTGTTAACAATTAGACCAACGCTGAGGATCAGGCCCTGCTCAGTACCAGAGAAGCACAAGAGTAATTTAAATCTGGTTTGGTTGCCTGCTCCTCCTAAGTGCCAGGTGGGAAGACTGAACCACACATGGGCAAACATTCCTTATCTTCCCATGGCTGCTGATGGCCAACTGCAACTGTTCACACTGAGGCCCAGCCACACTTCTACATGCTTCTTCCTGTAAATCGTTTGGAGAAGTCAGTGTCTTCACAAGCTCCGAAAGCACCTTTGAAGGCTGCCTGGCCCCAGTGGCTCACAGAGCCAAGGATGGGAGGCAGGATCTGACTGCTGGGAACCTGGGTGGCCAGACCTCTACTCACAAGCAGTGAATGCTTAATGCCAAGTAACTTCTTTTACAATTTTTTTTTTCCCCTGTAGTAGGAAAAAGACATATACGTGTCTGGATGGGAGAAGACAGATCTGTGGTCTGCAGGCCAAAAAAATTTGTCACTGCATCTTCCACTGACCTGGCCTTTGCTCCTGGAATAGCAAATGGTGCAGGCTGAGATACTTCACAACTAAACTATAGAAGCTGTAAATGTGGATGTAATAGAAGTGGTGACACAAGCTTAATCATAGCACTGAAGAAAGCATAGATTTATGAAAAATGTAATGTGGGAACAGAATATTTCTATCGCCTTCTGTTAGCTTCTCAGAGGAGGCTGCAGGACTGTTTCTATCTTGCTAACTGGAGCTCTTTTACTGCCTTTAGCCTGGTCCTTGCTTCCATTTTTTTTTTTTCCCCACCAGGGATGCTTTGCAAAAATACGGGCAACTCCATGAAATCTGGATCAACTCTGTGGCAGGAACTTTTACCTAAAGAAGCAGGAGGTTGAAGGCAGCTATTTCAATATGGGGAAATGGGCAGATCTGAGTTCATCAATTCTTCCCTGTCACGCTGTGCACACCTTGGTTATTCTCCAGCCCCTCCAATTGCAAAATACAAAAGAATCAGCTTGGAAAAGTAGCCTCAGTTGAAAGGCTTCATTTAAATGAAAACTTAATTAGTATGAAACCACCTCAAAGAGTACACCCTCATTTCACCTGTCCCATTTTGCCAGTACCTGAGCATGAGAAAGCTGGCAGAATAACGAGCACTTGTGCAGGGGAACACGGCAATTCGGGGGCAACCGGCAGCAGGACTCAGGGCCCCCTCGTTCGGTGCAAAGCAGCGTGTGCGCACTGCGAGCGCACCAGCCTGAGCTCTGCACACACTGCAGACGACGCTAACCTGTCTTGTCACCCCTTCTTCCTGGCCAGCCACTGCACAGCAAAGCCCGTTGTTTGCTTTCGACTCGTAAAAGCTGCTCCTGCTTCTCCCCGCCCCGAAAATACAGGGAGGGTGGGAGACACGGAAAGGATTTGGCTGGCAGGTTAGAAAGGCACAGGCAAGAGGGACGCCTTGATTTCCCTTGCAATGTTAAAACCCCGAAGTTTAACCCTCCTCAACTTTGGGGCTTTAGCCCTCCCATTTAACACATCTTTTCGAAGGAGGGCGAGGGGCGAGCAGCTCCAGCGCAGGCTTCCCCTTCTCCTCATGCAGCACGTCGGGGTCTCTGGGAGCCGCTCCGACGCCACGCCGGCCTCCGCTCGGTGTCAGTGACACGCAGGGCTCGGGATACCGGGGCGGGAGGGCTGGGGGCAGCCCGGCGGGCGCCCCGGCTTTGCCCTGCGTACCGGCACAGCTCCGTTCCCAGCCGCGGACGTGCCACCCCCCCCATCCCCCTCCCCACCTCCATCCCTATCCCACCCCTCCCTCTCCTGCTCCCCCCGCCCCGCGCTGAGGCCCGCACGCGGCACCCGCCGCTGCCGCGCGCCTCCCCGCGCCGAAGCGCCGCCGCCCGCCGCACCCCGCTCCACTTTCCCACGGCCGGCGGCGCGCGGCCGCGCCAACACTGCCCCCCCCCCCCGCCCCGCTCCCAGCCGAGGGGGCGGGGCTCAGCCACTGGCCCGCGGCAATTGGCTGAGGCCGGGGCGCCGGCTGCCAATGGGGGTGGCGGGGCCGCGCGTGGTGGTGCTGGGCGGTGGGCGGTGGCGGGCGTGCTTTGCCAGGCAGCCTGACCGGCTACTGCCTCCTGCCCGCCCGGCAGCCTCCTGCCCTGCCCTGCCCTGCCCTACCCTGCCCTACCCTGCCCTACCCTGCCTGGCCGGGCCCGCCGGCCCGCCCGCCCGCCCTCCCCTCGGCGGGTAAGAGGCGAGCCGTGGGAACGCCATGGGGGAGACGGGCGCCGGACGAGGCGCGGGTCGCGCGCTGGGCGCCCTCCTCCCGCGCAGCGCACGCCGCCTCCCCGACGGCCGCCCGCGTCCCGCTGTGACCACCGCCGTGACCACCGCCGTGACCGCCGCCATAGCCATGAAGCGGGCGCACCCCGAGTACAGCTCCTCAGACAGCGAGGAGCTGGACGAGGCCATCGAGGTGGAGAAGGAGAGCGCGGACGAGAATGGGTGAGCGTGAGGCGGCCCCTGCCCTCTCCTCAGCCCCGCGGAGCACCGGCACCCCGCGGCCCCCTTCCCCGCGGTGGCGGTGCTTGTGGTGATCGGTGTCCGCTATTCCCTGCAGGAACCTGAGCTCGGCGGCGGGCTCCATGTCTCCCTCCACCACCTCGCAGATCCTGGCCAGGAAGAGACGCCGAGGGGTGAGTGTCTTCCCCCCTCAGCCCCGGTTACCCCTCAGTCCCGGCCGCCCGCCCCTGACCCTCTGCTTTCTGCCCTAGATCATCGAGAAGCGCCGCCGCGATCGCATCAACAACAGCCTATCCGAGCTGAGGAGGCTGGTGCCCAGCGCCTTTGAGAAGCAGGTAGCGCTCTGTGGTCCTCCGCTCTGCCTCTCTGCTGTTCCCGGGAGGAAGGGTCACCCCTCTTTAACATTTCTGGATCTGTCTAAACCGCGTCGTGCTTCCCTTTCTCTCCTAGGGATCGGCCAAGCTGGAAAAAGCTGAGATTCTGCAGATGACTGTTGATCACCTGAAAATGCTGCATACAGCAGGAGGGAAAGGTAAAGTGCCTGACAGTAGGTGAGCAGCTCTGCAGGGAGGCTGCTGTGAGAGAAGTGCGTTTCGCAGCATGGGGTGTGAGGAGTGCTGTGGGAGTGCATGGAGAAAGTGAATGTAAACTCTTAGGTTTCATCAGGAATTTGGGACTTTCTTCTACTTGGCAAGATTTGTGGCATCACTAGCACTGAAGCGAGCTCTAGGTTCTAGGGGAGAAACTACAAGTCTCTACTGATGCGTCTGTACTGCTAGAAGGCTTTTGGCAACTTGGAAAACTCAAGAGTTTTTGTTGTTGTCAAGTGCTTGTTTCTCTAACTTTTAGAAAGTTCAGAACAGAAACTAGAAAGAAATACAGGCTGAAATAAGTAGTGAAAAGAATTGGCATAAACGATGAAATGCACTTTTAGGGAAAAAGTACGTTGTCTGCCTAATTCCCTTCTGTTAAGTTAGGACTTGTGTTTCTAATGGATTTCACTGCACTGTGGTTTTGCTTGCACTGGAGGAGACATGGAAAGAACAAAAGTACTTTCCTTCACTGCAGTGTGCAATTCCAGTTTGAAAATGGCAGTCTGTGACTGGTCTTGGGACTTGCAGCATCACAGCACAGATATAAAAGAAAAGCTTGTTAGACAGAAAAGAAGGGGGAAAAAAAAGGAGCTTGGCAACTAATCTATGGTTGAGAATACTAACCATATCCAAGTGAAATATGCTTATAGGGGAGGGTGGAGTGGGGAGGCTGCATGCAGACAGCGACTAGAAAACAGCATCTTGAGACTCCATTCTTTGTTCTCTTAGGTTATTTTGATGCTCATGCTTTGGCTATGGACTATCGGAGTCTGGGCTTTCGAGAGTGCCTGGCTGAAGTTGCTCGATACCTGAGCATTATAGAGGGTCTGGACGCCTCTGATCCTCTGCGAGTTCGCCTCGTGTCTCATCTCAACAACTATGCCTCTCAGCGGGAAGCAGCAAGTACTGCACACACTGGCATTGGACACATTCCTTGGGGCAGTGCCTTTGGACATCATCCTCACTTATCTCACCCATTTCTGCTGGCTCAAAATGGGCACGGTAATACCAGTACTACAGCGTCTTCCGCAGAACCACATCCCCAGACCAGAATTGCTGCCCCCCATGCTGAAACTTCCTCACTCAGAGTGCCCCCAAATGGCAGCGTTGGACCAGTGCTCCCTGTGGTCACATCTACTACCAAACTGTCTCCTCCTCTCCTCTCCTCCATGGCATCTCTGTCTGCGTTCCCTTTTTCGTTTGGCTCCTTCCATCTGCTGTCCCCCAACGTGCTGAGCCCGTCTACACCAACGCAGTCAGGAGCCCTTAGCAAACCATACAGACCATGGGGGACTGAGATTGGAGCCTTCTAAGAACTAACTCTTTAGTGAGGGTGGGGAAGCCTACAAGCCTAGCTGAGCTGGGTTATGCTATGGTTAAAGTTGAAGTTCTTAATAACTGGGACAAAGGTACAGCTTCACCTTAACTAACTTTGTCTGAAAACTAGCTCTTTGGTTTTTTTCTTTTTTATTCCCTACATTTTTGTATTAGCAATTTTGTTAGGATTTTTTTTTTTTTAATGGTTGCTAAAGTTGTGCAAAAATAAAATTACAATAGTGGTTGTTAACACTTGTGTTAGATCTGTGCTGAGGATTTAAATCACTTTTGTAAACAGTTTGTTTCAAATGTTTCATTTTTCCTGAGTACATCGGACTGCCTTTTTGTGAAGATCTGTCACCTAGAATTGTTAGCAGCAGCTTGTTCATTTTCTCAAGACCACTCTTCTCAGTGCTAACGAGCTGTGGTTTTGTGTTTTGACATTGAGATGTTCTATAAAGAATTACTCTTTTTGTAAACTATATTTGAGTCTTACGTTTCTGAGCAGAGCATTGACAAATCAATTGGACCAGCTTTTATCTAAGAGCTCAATTTCTATTTCTTCTGCAGTGGTTTGGTCTTACTCTGTTCCCTAGTGGACAGTTTCTCACATCTGTAACATTATTTCTTCCACCGAAAGGAGCAGTATGAGCAGACTCTAGAGTGGGGAGGGTAAACAAGCCAAATTACATGCTGTGTGGTGGTGGGTTTAGTTGCTGGGGAAGTGAAGAGGGAGAGGGAGGAAAGTTGTCACCTGCAGTAGTCTTCCAGCCGGAGCTGGAGATATGTTTATTCATTTCATAGGGCCAGATTCTCACAGTGGGGAGTGATTGTTCTATTGCCCTGTATTCTTGGGTAGCTGAGGTCAGGCTCCTTCCCCTGTGTGAGCTTCAGACTTGCACCTGAAGTGGGTGATGCTGGTATTTAAATAGCTAATGGAGTAGTACAGCAGGAACCTGTTGAGTGCACAGCCTTGTTACTTAACAGATACATCCTAAGCTATTGATTTTTCTGTGGTGATCCGCTTTTAGGTGCGGGTCAGTGCCACCCCTCATTTTGTAAGTGCTCTGCTGCGTTCTTGTGTGTGTGAATGTGTGTGCATGTACATCCATATTTTGGTTGATTTCATAAGAATCTTAATCTGAACAGGTTTATCTAGCGAGTTCCACTGGACAGGGTTTGACTGCTCTTGTATTTGTGTTGTGGCTAAATAAAAGAGAAAGAGCAAAGTATTTTAAATTACATGCTTGTCTGATATATATCAGTGGGGAATTCTATGCCTCTGGGTATCATGGGAGATGTCAAACGATTGCTACTTAGTCCTGCTGTGGGCATTTGTACTTACTTTTTTTTCTTGAATACTATGGCATACTTGTTACACTGGCTGAGTAAATAAAGAACCACAGTGCCTCAGAGTAACAGTCGAGGGAAGGAGAACATGCGATTCATTTTGCATGTCACTTTTACTCACCTGCAGTGTGTGGGCAGACAGCGAACGCACTGGGGTTACTGCAGAAGAGGAGGTTAAAGCTGTACTGCCCCTGAATACTCCTACTTATTTGTATTGACATTAAAAAGTGATCACCTTTAAAAATGCGGAATCTCATGAGATCTTTATCTGTCCTAAAGCTCTGGAGCAAAGTTTTGTACCTAACAAAAGTCTGATTAACTCACATTCAGTGCGTTAGAACAGAATCTACCCAAGGGCTTCTATGGATCCTGTATTTGTTACTGAACTATACTACTGGTGTCTCACACTTTTTCTTTAAGTAAAAACCCAGCAGGCTGACACATAGATATCTTTTCTCCAAATGCAGTTCATGCTACCTGCAAATCTCTACCTGCAGAACACCACTGACTTTTCCTGGAAGTACCTTACTTCTTCCCTGTATGTTTGAATTTGTAGTATGCTTGCAGTGGTAAATGGCACATCCTTGTCTGGATTTAGCTCTGCCAGAATAGCAGAAAGAGTTGGCCCTGTGGGAGACGAGAGCTTTGTTTAAAGTGGGGCTCTCGGGCCAATTAAGGAGTGGCATTGATGAGAAGCTTTCTCAGAAGGAGGATTGCCGAGAGGCTGGAAAGAGTGGGAGAGCATTCAAGTGCGTAACCTTGTTTTACCTTCCTCCCTAGGCTGCAGGAGACCACTGCTAGAAAGGCAAAAGGCAAAACACTGTGGGAGCTGGAAATACATAGGTGTTATTAAGGACAGATTACAGAGCATAGTATTTCATGTAGAAACATGAAATAAGAGGCTGTAAAACTCCAAATCCAGTTTCCTTTTCACAGTGTGTATTGTCTCCTGTTTAATTATGCTCTGCCCTGTCCCTAATAGGTTTTTATACCAAATTAACAGCTCCTACCTAGAAGATTGCTATAGTGCATGCAACTATTCTTTAGATCTTTTAATAAATGGCAGTGCTTCTCAGCCTTTTAATGGTTATTTCATTGACATTCAAATGACTTTGCCTGCCTCTAAATAGCTGGCTCTTTTGTGTGGAAAGACCCCTATAATTATTTTTGTCCCACTGTCCTATTCTTGAATAGACTTCAGAAGCAGAGAGTGCAATAAAAGTTTAGCTGCTGGTGTTTGTCTCTATATCTACTGTCATCTCTTTCCATTACCAATAGCAAAGGTATTAATGAAAAGGACTGATTTTATTCTTTTTTTTAAGTTTTAGAGACTCAAAACCTACTGATTATTATTGTAGAAGGAGATGAACAAATCCTAGGAACTCACAAAACCTAGTAATTCAAAGGGAAAGAGCACTGGCCCAGAAGCTGAAGCATCAGGATTGGAAGTCCAGGGTTATATTACTACTTGTGCTGCTAACTTAGTAAATCATTCTTGGTGATCACTTAATCCATACCTGTTTTGTCAGCTGTGAAAAAAGGAGGGCAGGATTTGTTCTCCTTTCATCAAGAGACAGTGGTAGTTAGAAATTTTCTATGTGAACGACATATGTTTTTTTTTTCTTTCTCAAAACCTGCAGTTTTGAGGTATTTTGCTATTTTTCTTTCATGTAGGATGCCAAAGACAGACTGAAAAAGGCAAAATAAATTTGCTTCTATAGACACCAGATATCTCTTGAGCCCCAAATATTTACTTGTTTACCCTATTGCAAAAGAGCAATTCAGGAGCACAAGCTTAACCAGAGGGATGCTGGAGAAGAAAGGAAATGCATATGTGACTTAATCCCATGACCCCCCAGCTACCTTCAATTGCTTTGGATGAACTGTGTCTGCCCGGGAATCCTCAGGCTAAAGTTTTGTGTGGGAAGTAAGATGATGGGGTATTTCATATGAGCTAGTATTATCTTCCTTTATCAATTAAGCTGGATTTGAGTGCAGAATAAATGTAAGAGGCTGGTAAATGCTGCATAAACGCAGATCCAAACATTTGGAAATCCATTCTTGCTCTGGCGTAAAGGAATAGCTCATGAAAGTGACATTTTTTAGCTTTTGGAAAGAAGCTGTCAGTAGTTCTTAAGACAGTTTCTGTTCAGCACTCATGTCTTAACACTAGTAGCATGACAGAGTTTATTAGGATCATGCTGAAAACTCTCTGAATCTTGGCTATTGCTCTCTTCACTCACATATCAGCATGAGAGTCCCCAGGTGACAGCAGCCTTCCTAGACTGTTGCATAGCAGTGGGAAGCCTGCCAGCTTTTCTTCCAAGCAACAAACAAGCCCAAGTGAGCACAGATAAACTGAAATCCTACTTCCTGTTTCATATTGTGTGCATATTCACAGGCACTTGTTGCCAGAAACTCCCAGTTCGGATTGTAACATACTCTGTATGGAGCTGGAAGTCTCTGTAGTGAATAACGTGGAAGTCACGGGCTTTGTCTTGGAAGGCAGCAAAAATGATTTACAAAGGCCTCTTCTGAGGCCTTACATGAAATTTGCAGAGATGTGTTGTGGTACTGGTGACTCAGTTTGGTGAAGCACGAATAAGCCCATGTATTAACCAGCCTACCCAGCCTCGTGGAGCAGAGTGTGATTTGCCTGTAACTGAATGCCTTTCTCTCTACTTGCCCAGCTTATAAATAAAAACTAGAACAGTACTTTTCTTCTGGAGCCAGAAGATGCAGGCATTGACTCATGCTTGCAGTATAGCAGCTTGACTGCAGTAAATGTTGAAATGCCAGTGCCTAGTAAGATACAGACACTTGAAGGTGTCTTTTGGGAGTCTGAAGTGTTCATTTGGTGAAAGCTTTTATTAAGGAAGTGCTTGGCTATTATACGTTGTTCTCTCTTATTCCAGCTAGTCCCACGCATATTTTTTTCTCTGGCAAATTCTACTAATTATTCATGCAGCTTGAAGGAGCAGAACAAACTGCCTTGCTTTGACATGTGCTGTGTGAGCCTGCCCAAGTCTTTCCAGAAGAGCACAGTTCATAGGCAGAGGCTCTCTTCCAGCTGATTCTTCTTTTTTCTTCATCATGTAACACAGCTGTATAACGCAGAAAGGGCTTATCTAAGTGCTCAAAACAGCTGAGCACTAGGGGCATTGTTCCCTGCTTATAAGAGGCCTTAACCACATCATATTGCTCAGACCTTTTCAGAGTCTTTTATGAGGCTGCTTTCTTCAGGTGAAGCCTCCTGGAAAAGAAGGTAGGGTAACTGGAGCCAGTTCTGCATGTTGTCTGCACAGCTGCTTGTCGGGGCAGCTTCAGCACAGGGAGACCTTTGCAGGCCACTCTCTTCTCTCTGCGTTGGAGGAAAGGCTTCTTGGAGCTTTCCAGGTGGCATGTGTTTCTCCAAGGTAAGCTGTAAAACTAGGCACAGGCAGTAGTAACAGGTTACGTACTGATGGTATGTGCATTTCTCTGTTTTGCACCCCTTTCTCAGAAGAAAGGATGTTGGAATAGAAAAGTTGGTGGAAGAGCTCTGCAAGAGAATGGCAGGGAACAGGAAGGAAGACTGATGTACGGGATCAGAGGAAAACTGAGGCTGTGAACAGATGAATGAATGTTTACATTGCCTGTTGCAAAGATATGGAAATAAGTGATGTCAGATGACAAAGTAAGCTGCATGCAAGTATGTAAAGCATACAGAGGGGCAGGTAATACTCTTAGTATTCATAACTTTGCTCAGTAAGTTAGAATCCGATGAGCAGTGTACACAGACTGAGGCACATAAATTAAGACTGGCAAGGTGCTGAAACAAATGTGTGTGAATGTCTTAATTGAATTTGACGGGTCACTGGCTAAGGAGGAACCAGGGTTCAGATGGACTATTGCTGGCTATAGGAATGCATCACAGCGTGATTTACTGATTGCATTTGTACAATCTGGTCAAGTGAGTATAAGGAGGACAAGGAATTAAAGCATGGTCCATGCACGAGATGGGGCTTGTGCTCAACTTGACAGAGAATTTGATACATCAGGATAACTGGTATGAACACCTGATGACTGGCAGCCACTTCCACAGATCCCTCAGCCTTCAGCAGCAGCTACCAACCAGCTGCTAGTGCAGCTG